GCAGTGGCACATGACACTGGTGTCATGCTTTGCTAAGAGTTGTCAGAGGCAAAAGGTACCACTACACCCACCACCACCACCACCCCCCACTAACCATACTTGGCCTGGGAGGATGAGGAGCCAATGGCAGAGCCAGCTCGGCAGTCACCCCACAAACATAAGGCACTGGAAAAAAGAGGTGGAGGGGCAGTGGGTTCATTTGACACATAACAGAACATGAAGATAAGTTGGCAACAGCCTCAAGCTTGCAGGCAGGTTACAGCTGTTTGGTATAAGAGACACTCTTACCGCAGTCAGGAAGCTACAAAAAAAGCACAGTTGGTCAGTCATACTTGAATTCTTCTGAAATGCTTTGGTTCCTCTTAGAGGAATGATGCAAGACATCTGAAACCTTAAAGCAGTGTGATACTGAGCTGCTTAGTCAGTTGTTGAGCATCAGATAAACCTGTTTAATCTCATTATTACTACCTTATTAAAGGAGGGTTAAACATTAAGCTTTTAAACACATAAAACATAATCCCATGTTAACAAGTCAGCTGCTTTCTCTCAGCTTTACATGAACTGGGGTGGTATACAGTATAACTAAAACAGTAAGTGTCTTTTTTAAGTAAATTAAATAACGTGTGTTGTGTTATGGCTGTACTAAAATAAATGTTTAAATTTCTTTTGTTGAAACCAAACTTCACAGGTGAGCGGTGGAACTAACTGAGAAACCAAGGACGCTGCACGCTCATATGGCAGGGACTTGTTAATCCCAAAGTCGCCACTCCCTAAAGCATACCCCTTATTGTCTATTTTACTCAAAATAGGACCATAACGCACATAACCTGCCATTAGGAAGAATGCAGGTTTGAAGCACTTCCACACTGGCTTCCTCTTTCAGACCCAAATGCGGTCAATAGTAGGTCCAGCTGAGAAATAAAAAAAGCATCAGTTAGTGTCAGTGAAGCACTGCTTCTGCTGTGTGAGAACACATGGTTTTGACAGTAGCTAAAACCATTTTCACACATGCACGCTGACCCTGATGGAGTTGCATGTGACAACACAAAGGTCCATACAGGCGAACATTAAACGGTTATAACCTGCTAGCTCCTTGGTGCAAAGTCTGTGTGGTGTCAGGTTGCAATGGTCTGAGAAGAGTGAATCATAAACCGATCTCTGAGGGCATCTTCTGCATCTTGCCCATTTTAGGGTCTTCTAAAAAGCACTTTGTGTTTAACTGAGATATGTAACAGTACAATTCTTTTCTGATATACCAAGATAAAGAAACTAGCATGGTATTTCAGTGTAAATCATCACCGTGCGCATCTATAAATCAGTGCCTGCTCCACTTCATCATTGTTGGTCTGTTAAAGACTTTCCTCTTTAAATTGCTCACTAAAGCGCACACTTTTTTGTACTCCGAGACACGATATCATCACTTCTTCATGATGAGACCAGGCTTAATGCAACATGTGTTGAAACTTGACAACAGCTTTCTCACTGGTGAGAGGAAACACCAAAAACTTCACTGGTAATTCAACAGTTTGAAAATAAAGCACAGCACAGCGCCTAGGAAGTGATTTAAAAAAAAAAAAAAAAAAAAAAGAGGAGTCAATATATTCTTATGGATGTAATGAGATATCCTTGCATACAGTATAAATTCACAAGGGCATTCACACACCCTAAAGGCAACTGACAAACCAGTTTTTCCTGATTAGCGTGGCAGATGAGGAGCACTCTGAAAGGCGCACAGGAAGAGAAGACCTCCACCCATTTTTATGTGATCAACGTGGCAGACCAACTGACATGACCAGCATTACACTGAGAGACATCCCAGCACAGCTACAGGAGGCCTGCTTTAACTCGTATGAGGCTTCACTATAGTCTGTCATGTCCTGCGATCCTCTGGCTGACTGTGACTTTTAACCCTGGTTTTCGGACACATGACCTGACCTTGCACAAGACAACCAGACTAAAGATTGCAGGTCATAACCTCCTTGATGAAACCACACACTCCAAGTCACATGGTCACACAGCGGAGGGGGAAAGAGAGGGTGGAGGACGAGCTCGCTTAAGTAGGACAAAGGTCACACAACTCTTAACAACTCCCGACACACCATTGGGGCAAAGCAAAAAAACAACCTAACATAGTGCTTTCACAGTGAAACATTACATTATAAAACCCCAAAAGCATCATTATGCTTTAATTTGCATCACTATCCTTTAAATCGCTAAGATTTGCTGCCAATCTGAAGTTTAGCAAGCACTATTTACACGGTAAATAGTTGTGCTTGCTAACATGTGCTAATTAACACAGATCACATGGAGGGCTAGAAATGTCAGTGGATTTGTGGCAAACTTGAATCCATTTAGCAGTTTTTTCATTAAAGAGGTGCTAAGAGGAAAAAAAGGGGGATCCTCCAAGATCCTATTGATTTTGGATCATCTTTTCCAAGAATGTAACTACTATTTTATTTTATAAGCAATCTGCCACAAAAGCAGCACGCCAGAGCTGATTGTTGTGTAAACATCATCCAGCTCAGTCCTTCCACCTTGCTAGCACCAAAGCAGACAGAAAGGCTGATACTGGTACTGTCGAAAGACTAAAGGCCACATGGCAAACCACGCTGTGCCACATACTGGGTTTGCTTAAATGAAAGCTCCTCCTCTACTTGAGTACTAAAACCGCCCACACGATTGCATCTTTATGGTAACTGTTCATGTGACTGCCCTGCATGACCGCAACAGCATTACCTAGTGTTTCAAAAATTGGGTTTAAAATGGGAGGAAAACAGCAGGCGGCATTCCAGAGATTCCTGTTAGAGCAAGTTTGCATAAAAACGCCTTCAGACACAAGCACATATCAGAGCTGCTCTCCAAAAAGTGATGTACACCAACAACTGACTGCTAAGCACTCAATTATGATTCACTTTCACCTCATTTTCTTTCTTATAGAAGAGGCTGGAACTTATTCATAATACTCAAGTATCCAACTACCGGCTACCAGCTGTCCATGACTTCTAGTCTGAGAGATTTTTTTCCTTTGAGGGGAAATGACAGAAACAGTCCAGCTTTTGAGTGGAAAACCTGCTGTTTTTCTCATATCTGCAGTTAATTCTAAACACACGAATGTTTCACATTTCAACAAGCTGTTAAACCTGCTTGATTTGTCTAATATGCATGAAAGTGAGTCTGCTCAACAATCTTATGTTTAATTTGATATCTGGAACATGCATGTTGTCCTCCAGCACAAGTAGGCAAGATATAAAGTATCTGCTGGCAAATGAAAGAGCTACAATTGACTGTAGAGGAAATGATGGCCATCTGCATCTCAAAGGGGCAGCAATCACAGGCCAGTCAGAATAGCTCTGGAGAAAGAAATTGAGATGCACTGATTGACCAGCCAGGAACCAGAATTACACAGTTTCCACTGTTCTTAACGTGGATTGGTGACTGGCTGGTCATGCATGCATTACTCACACATGGCAGCACAGGCAAATAGTCCCACGCAAACTCGACGTAACGGTCACTAAAGTAAGCTGCAAACATATCTGAAACAACAAACTTAAAAAGACACTTAAACGTGGACATTTTTAAGAAGCTAACAAAGGCAAAATGGCTAGCAGCCTCGGTATGAGCAAAGGATCAGATCAGTTATGGGGAGAGGAATAAAAAAAAAGGGAAAAGGTTGATGATCTGTTATCTGGTAACAATATAAAAAAAATACAGAAAAATTATGTAAGTACCAGACATTTATTTTTATAAATAAATCTGCTGCACTTGTTAGTTGTGGTAAAATATGTCAGGTAAAGGTGGGTGTACAGCAACTCATGTTCATTCATTATTTGTAACTTTTTCCAGGGGCAGGACAGTTTACTTTCAGTGTTGAGAGAAAAGTATATAACTTACAGAAGCATGTCACATTTAAATAAGTCTTTATCACAAAATAAATACACAAAAATCACTATGGGCAAGTCACACTAGGTGAAAAATCAGATATTGGAATAGGCCAAGAAAACTACAATGGTGGATCTCTAATGAGAACGTCAAAGACATTGTGTCACTATGATATGCTCCACTGGTCACTGTTAAGGACATGGAAAGTTCCTGGAATATCTGCCTGTTGCTTAGCACATCATCCTTAAAACAGCAACTCGGTCCTGCACAGCTACACACTGTGGTCAGAAAGCAAAAGCAAAACCTTGTTTTCAGATTCATTCTCAAAGTTTACAACTTTCCAAAAGCGGAAAAAAGAAACAGTTCAAGTTCACGGAGGTGGCTTCACTAAAAGCCATGTTCTCATTTTAAACAAAATAGATGTAGCCAACATTTTGACATTGAGTGGAAATTGGAGGAAACGGCAGCACGCGCTACTACTATCCGGTGCGGACCACTTTGGTCACTCATTCACACACGCACACGCACGCACGCACACACACACCACAGGCGGAGTTATGAGTGATTTGGCGGGATGCCACCACAGTAGATAACAGTTACATTGTTACTCCTTGTCCACTTCTTATCTTTATTTAACAATGACGTGCGCGTGTAGCACGCTCACACCGACTATCAGCAGTGATGTTAGTAATAAAGAAATGATACATATGAAATAAAAAGGTTTTTTGAAAAAAAGAAAAAGGATTATCATCAGAGGCGTTGGTGACGTTTTCATCCCTGTTGCTACGTGTCCCTGTCTGTTTTCTTTTCAGAGGGCTGGTCCGTTCAGCCTACACGCGGGTTTGTCGCTGATAAACAGACCCACAAACATCAAAAATGAACAGCTCGTTCTGATCACGCACTAAATATCATGCTGCTCATCGTCAGATTAGCGGAAACGAAGATATAATGCGGAGAAAAGACATAAAACGAGGCTGGGGTCTGGTCTATTTAAAGCAACAATAAGAGCAGCCCTTTCGGTGGCTTCATCCTGCTCTAACTTTTGCACACGGGCCTCGGTAGAGGAGCTCAGAGCTACGCTGCCTTTTTTCGGTTTTTAAGAGTCAAATGTTGGCACTAACCTGTTTGCAGCAGCAGACTTTAACGCGTTTCTTGAGGAAGCAGCGGCAGCAGAAGCAGCGGCGGGCGGCAGTGGCGGTTTACACTTTGTTCAGCTGGTGCAGCTACCAGCCAATCAGAGGCGGCTTCACGTGTTGCTTTCGTAAAGTCTGAGAGGCGTTCGGTCATTGGTCAGTTAGTTGTGACGGTCGATAGAGCGTTTCACATCCATGTGAATGAAATCAGGTACATCCGAACCGAGTAATTAACGAATACTAGCTAATTTTAAGACACCCTTACTTTTTTTTAATTGCTACTCAGGAGAATAGTGTTTAGAGGTTTAGTGAATGACTGCAGTGAGACTATTTGAAGTTATTTCCACCCCCAACTTAAAATATACAGTCAGTCCTTTAGGGAGTTCATTTGATTAAAGAATAGACTAAACATCTGCAGCTCCATTTGTCCTGTCAATTTAAGGTGGCACCTGAAGGCACCTTAAATTAAAAGTTCCAATTCAACAATGTAAAAATACTCAATTACAAGCTTTTCAAAGAAGTTATGTGAACACCTGTTAACAACTACTACCTGACAACCAGACAATCAAGCACCAGCCAGAAATCACCACTTGAATCTTAAACAGGGTACTTTGAACATTTATCATGTGTTTGTCATTAGTCAAATATGTAAGTCTTCTAATTCTATCTGCTGCCTTTCCTCATTTTCCATCTTCAACATCTTTTTCCAATATATCCACTGTCCCACTGCACATGCCACTAGTGGAATACATAAAATATACTTACATACACAATTTGAACACATAAAGTTACAATCACAATTATCTTAGTTTTGTATTTTCTAATTAATTTTTATTTCATTTTGACTTTTTGTTTTTTAATTAGGTGTAGTTTCAGTTAGCTTCCAGGGCTTATCTTCTTATTTTGGTTTAACTTTTATTGTTTGAAAATGTTGAGTTTTTATTCAATTCTGTGTTGGTTTTAGTGTTTTTAATGATTACTGTATGGAGGGCAAGTGTCAGAGGCCAGATTTAGTAAATTCACCACAGGCATTACAATAAAAACACAACTTTTTGAAAGCAGTCGACTTACAGCCTCGTAGATGTCCTCAATAACCATGTCCTTTAGCAAACTAACAAATACTAGAACCAGGGTTTTAGTTTTCTAAGTTTCAAAATTGTTTCAATTATGAGGGGGGTATCTAAAATCTTTTTCATGTCTAGTTTTTCATGTTTAGTTTTGGAAAGAGGTAAACTCTTTATCTTGTTAAAAGAACTCTGGAACGAGAATTTTTAATTGGAACTGTAGTTCTTTTCTTATATTAAAATATCTCAGGGTTTGGATGTGCAGTCAAAGTCTACTTAAGTTCTTTAAACTGACAGAAAGAGCAGTTGCACTGGCTCGGCCCACAAAAGATCAAAGCGGCTGTTCCAACGCACCGCACCACGTTCCAATTATTATGCAAATTGTGTTTAAGTGTCATAAAGATTAAATAAGTTGTTTTTTAAATTAAACCCATGGATGGAATTATGTCTCAGGACTCTTTGTATCACTGAAAACAATCTCGGACACCTATGATCATTAGTTTGCCAGGTGAGCCCAATTAAAGGAAAAACTACTAAAGAAGGATATTCCACATTATTAAGCAAATCCCCAATTTTCAGGCAGTATAGGAAGGAAAAATGATCCCTCTGCTGCTGAAAAGCGTGAAATAGTTGAATTCCTTGGACACGTAATGAAAACCTTAGATATTTCATGAAAATTTAAGCGTGATCACCATAATGTTAAGAGATTTGTGGCTGAGTCAGAGCACACACGTGTTTGTGCAGACAAAGGCACAATGATGAAGGTTTCTGCCATACAAATACATCAGATTAAGAGAGCAGTTGCTAAAAGGCCATAACAAAGCAGCAAACACATATTTGAAGCTGCTGGTGCCTCTGGAGTCCTGCGAACATCAAGGTGTAGGATCCTCCAGAGACTTGCTGTTGTGCATAAACCTTCTATTCGGCCACCCCTAACCAATGCTCACAAGCAGAAACGGCTACAGTGGGACCAGAACTACAAGAAGACTAATTTTCAAACAGTTTTGTTCACTGATGAGTGCCGTGCAACCCTGGATGGTCCAGATGGAGTGGTGGATGGCTGGTGGAAGGCCACCATGTCCCAGCAAGGCTGCGTCATCAGCAAGGAGGTGGTGGAGTCATGTTTTGAGCCGGAATCACGGGGAGAGAGCTGGTCGGCCCCTTTAGGGTCCCTGAAGGTGTGAAAATGATCTCTGCACAGTATGTGGAGTTTCTGACTGACCACTTTCCATGGTAGAAAGAGAAGAACTGTGTCTTCTGCAACACAACCATCTTCATGCAAGACAATGCACCATCTCATGCTACAACAACAAGAGGAAAAAGGAGAGGACCTCATGGTGTGGTACCCATTCTTCCCCAACTTCAGTCCTACTGAGAACCTTTGGAGCATCCTCAAGCAAAGAAATCTGAGGGTGGGAGGCAGTTCACATCCAAACAGCAGCACTGGGAGACTCTTCTGACATCCTGCAAAGACATTCAAGTAGAAACCTTCCAAAAACTTACAAGTTCCATGGATGCAAGAATTGTAAACCTGCTATCAAATAAGTGGTCCTATGTTAATATGTAACTTGACCTGTTAAGATGTTTTTGATTGAAATAGCTTTTGATTTCAATGAAATTGATCTACTAATGCTGCAAATTCAACAAATGACCATTTTCAATTCTCTACAACCTATAAAATCGTTTGAAACTCTGTGTGCGTAATAATTTGGAACAGTGCGTTTTAAGTTTTTTTATTTAAAAAAAATGTTTTCATTGGGAGTTTTGTTCAGTAACACTTGAATTATACTCTATTGGTCGATGACTCAAAAATTATGCCGACTGTCATTTGAATCCACTATTTAGGAAAAACAGAGAAAAATATCATTTGCATAATAATTTGGAACGCGGTGTATGTGGTCTATAATTTAAAAATGGAATTGACATCTCTTGCTTATCAAATTCACAGTCACAGGGGGCTGGAGCTTATCCAAGCTGTCATACGTGGCAGGCAGGGTGTACTCTGGACAGGTCAGGGCTAACACGTGGAGCCAATCATTCAGCTTCAGATTCATATCTGAAGTCAATTTTGAGTCACTGGTTAACATGTTTCGACTCTGGGAGTTTAAAAAACACAGGACCTTCTTACTGAGAGGCAAAAGTGCTCTTATCAAGAAACCTGATCCTCCTCCCCTTAGACAACCTGCAACAGGAAACTGAAAGTCATTTGACAAACATTATAATTTAACGTTGTGGTGACATAAAAACACATTTTAAGACAGCTATGACGACAGAAATCCATAAAGGCAATGAACCAACCCAAAGACTGGAAAAACAGCAACAGCAATAAAAAAAGGGTGCACACTCTGAAACAGAGAATCAATAATGCTCGCTATGAAGTCACTGGCAGTCTGTTATATCACCACCAGAGAGGTTAAAGGTGACCTGTTTCCCTCACCTACATCGTAACCACCTCTGATAACTCTGGCTTTACAAACAGCACCGAGTTCTACAAAGTAAACAAGCATACTGTCAAATTTTTACCAACTACAGTTTAGAGATAAGCATTTACATTACATATGTACTCATATGCTGCATTTCACACTACTACAAGCCACTATCTGAAAGGGAAAAATTCTACCTTTTTCACAGCTGTATGCACTTGTTAAATTTAGACCGTAGCCAATAAACAACTTAAACTGCAAACAATTATGGGAACCATTATGTAATCTTTCTCTTTTGGATACGACGTTCACATCCAATTTTCTGTGAGATTTGCAGCTTTGGGAATTGGAAAGCCTCTTTAAGATGACTTTAGTATTTTTAAACTACAGCAAATTTAAACTTTTATGAAACTTTAAAAAATATATATATACTAGAGGTGGACTGAATTATAATATCTCTAACATTGTATTGCTAAAATTCTTGTTGACCGTTGATCCTGAGGTCCCCCACCAGAGTACTTCACTTTTTTTTTTCGGTCCACTTAAATGTTTCAAATCATCAAACAAACTCTAATATTAGAAAAAGATAACCCAAGTAAATACTAAATGCAACTTTGTATTTAGTATTTACATTCAGAGAAGTTTACAATTCACCAAAAGTCACCCTTTCCGTTTCTTCATTAGGTTTATCTGCAAACACCACACAGCTAACTTACCCCATTGAACTCTCATGGAATTGTTTGAGTGCTTGACAAAAAACAAAACAAAACAAAGAAACCCAATCCCAAATCTAAGTCAATATTTTCAAATGATTTAAGATGAATGCCTTTGAGAAGTCCAGTTATTTTCTTTTCAGACTACCATATATGACATATAACTTTATGACTATATAACTTATTTTAAAGAGTTTTTCCTGGTAGTGGAAAGCATCTATCACATACCACAGTAACCTGGAGCACTATAATATTGTTTATTTGTCTTTAAAAGAAAGCATAATGAACAGCGTCTCTGCATAAAGATCCTGGCCACTGCATTTCCCGGATTGTAACACAAGAGGGAGCGCTTTTGCCATTAGAGCAGCTATTATTCCTGTTGTTGAGTATTTGATCACAAGCCTCCTTTAAAGGATCTAAATTCTCTCTGACAAAATTACAATATAATTTGTTGTGGAGAAAATGTGTTTATTGTAAGTTTCTTGTGGCTCAGTAGTAATGTAAGACTTCTGTAACTGCTGATCAGAAACATGCTGTTCAGCAGGAGATATCTGCAGAACGACATGGAAAGATAAACTGGCGGTGTAAACGCAAAACGTTGCCAAACGTGTACGTTTTGAGTCTTCGTTTTAAAAGTCAAGAAGTTACCCCAGAGTCTGATAAGTCTGCCTTCCTTTCTAATTTATGAAAAAAGAAATCAATGAATCACAGTTAGGAAGAAGGAAGAGCTCTGTGATGATGATGATGACTATGTGGGACTTTAAATATGGGCGATGTGTCTTTCTGGTCTTTGTCAGTATCAACGGAAGGCCCTTCAGAGAGAGTTGGACTAGATTTGGACAGCATCGCTCTGAGACAAGATGTCCTCAACTTTATATATTACAGTCCCAGATGCTTGTCTT